AGCCACCCAGGCGCCCTATATTCGCCTTCTTTTTTTTTTTTTTAAAGATTTTATTTATTTATTTGAGAGAGCGAATGAGAGATAGAGAGCACGAGAGGGAAGAGGGTCAGAGGGAGAAGCAGACTCCCCGCCGAGCAGGGAGCCCGATGTGGGACTCGATCCCGGGACTCCAGGATCATGACCTGAGCTGAAGGCAGTCGCTTAACCAACTGAGCCACCCAGGCGCCCTATATTCGCCTTCTTAATACTGTGTGCTCTTGGGCCAGTCCTTAAACAACCTGATGATGTCTGCCGGAGAGACGGCAATCATGATAATGACTAACCTTTGAGCTTGCTGTGTGCCTAGTGCTGTTCTACAAGGCACTTCATTTTTTTTTTAAGTAAACTTTACCCCCAACATGGGGCTTGAACTCATGACCCCAAGATCAAGAGTCACATGCTCTACCGACTGAGCCAGCCAGGTACCCCCAAGCGCTGCATTTTTTTTTTTAAATCAACATAGCAACATTACAGTGGCTATTGTTTATTTATTGCTTGTAGTCCGTGACTCTAAGGGCCATGTGAATGGACTCCTCCAATTCTTGAGACATCAGTTTTTGTCATCCCATTTTACAGGTGGAGAAACTGAGGAATAGAGAAGCTAAGCAGCTTGCGCAGGGTCAAGCAGCTAGTAAGTTGTAGGCCTGAGGTTTGAACCTGAGCAGGCTAGCTCCAGGTCCACATCCCCTAACCACTACACTCTACTGCTTTTCTGTAGGTAATAATGCAAGATGGTTCTGGAACAATTTAGAAACCAGGAGGCAGGTTGACCTTTTTTTTAGGTGAAAAAAATTTATTTTTATTTTTATTTTTGAGAGAGAGAGAGAGAGCAGGGGCAGGGACAGAGGGAGAGAGCATCTTTTATTTTTATTTTTTTATTTTTATTTTTTTAAATTTTTTATTGTTATGTTAATCACCATATATTACATCATTAGTTTTTGATGCAGTGTTCCATGATTCATTGTTTGTTCATAACACCCAGTGCACCATGCAAAACGTGCCCTCCTCAATACCCATCACCAGGCTAACCCATCCCCCCACCCCCCTACCCTCTAGAACCCTCAGTTTGTTTTTCAGAGTCCATCATCTCTCATGGTTCGTCCATCTTTTATTTTTAAAAAGATTTTATTTATTCATTTTGAGAGAGTGTGTGTGCATGAGCAGGGGGAGGGGCAGAGGGTGAGGGAGAGAGAGAATCCCAAGCAGACGCCAAGCTAAGCTTGGAGCCCAATGTGGGGCTCCATCCCACAACCGTGAGATCATGACCTGAGCTGAAATCAAGAGTCGGATGCTTAACCGACTGAGCCACTCAGGTGCCCCAGGTTGAGTTTTTACTAAGCAAGATTTCTTGAGTACCTACCATGCGCCAGAGACTGTGCTGTGTGCTGGGCTTACAGTGGGGAACAAGACAAGGATGAGACCTGTGCTTGGCACAGAGCAGGACTTAGCAAAGGAAGAAACCGACGTCCCTGCTTTTGCATGGTTCATGGTGCAAGCACAGTGTCTAGCGCAGTCGACAATGAAATCATGATTTAATAGAAATAAGCATTAATGATAAGCACGAAAGAGAATAAGCACCTCAGGGTACTGAGAGAGAGGCCGTGGGAGCCTTCCTCATCTGGGGAGTCCGGAGGGCCTCTCAGAGCCGATGACACTTGAACTGAGAACTTTTCCCAGACAAGGAAAAGGGAAGAGGGCCCCAGGGAGAGGGACAGATAGTGCAAGGAGTCTGAAGCAAGATGAAGCTTGGTGCATTTGAGGAGAAGCCGAGAGGCTGCCATGGACATTGACGGGGGGATCTGGAAAGGCCTCATGTGTCATGGCTAGACTTACAGGTTTGTGACCACATTTGACAGAGGATCTAACCCAGTCATCAGGAGAGAGGGTCAGGGAAAACTTTGTCGAGAAGGTGACATTTAAGCTCAAGTGATGAGTAAGAGTTAGTTGAGCAAAAGATAGGGGGAGAGAGGAATCCCAGGCAGAGGGAACAGCATGTGCAAAGGCCCAGGGGTGAAGAGGTACTTAGAGTATTGGAGAAGAGAGAAGGCAGAGTGGCCTGAGCATGCAGAGCAAGGGTGCACTGAGGCAACAGAGGCAGCCAGGGCCAGATAATGTGGGGCCTTGGAGGACAAAATGGGATCTAGGGTGAGGCATCGGGCCTAGAGCATCGGTAGCTGTGCCTTCCCAGCTCCACCTGCTGCAGGGAGAGGAGCTGGAGGGAGCTGAGTGAGGGCCCCCCTTTCTGCCTGTCTCTGCAGCAATGGCTCCCAGGATACATTTGAAGCGTGTTATAGTGGCACATCCACACCCTCCTTCCATGGCTCCCACTGCAGCGGCAGTGACCACAGCGGCCTGGGCCTCGAGCAGTTGCAAGATTACATGGTCACGGTGAGCTGGGGCAGGCAATGTGAACAGGACAAGCAAAGGCCCGGAGGCTGGAGAAAGCACAGGGAGTATTTCAGGAATCCTGGATAATCCTGGACATAACTGAAGCAGACGTTGAAGATCAGGGCGGGATATGAGGTTAGGAAAGTAAACTGAGGCCAGCTTGTGAAAGCCTTAACTAGTGTCAGCTAGCATTAATTGAGTGTTTGCTCTATATCAGGCACTGTTCTATGCACTTTTTATGCATTTTAATCCTCTTAATGACCAAAGTAGGAGGTGCCACCATTATCCTCAGTATATATAAGAAAAGTAAGGGTCAAGGAGGTTGTCACCTACCCAAGATCACAGCACTGACCAAGGGGCCAGGATGTGAACTCAGGCAGCTTGAGTCTACATCCCATGCTTAGATGCAGCCCAGAGGGTCTTGATGCCCCCCAGTAGGCCATGGGAGTGTTTCAAGGGAGGTCTTGGCCAAATAGACCCTTACAGAGGGCTCTGGGTCTTTTAGGCAAAGGTTGGGTGGGGCTTGCTCCCCGGGACTGATCTTGAATGTTGTCCCTACAGTTGCGGAGTAAACTGGGGCCCCCTGAGATCCAGCAATTTGCGGTGCTGCTGCGGGAGTACCGGCTGGGGCTGCCCATCCAGGACTACTGCGCAGGTCTGCTGAAGCTCTATGGAGACCGGCGCAAGTTCCTCCTCCTTGGTGAGCCACCTGCCACCCCCCCACCAAGGTCCGCCAAGGCCCCTACGTGGTCCATGACATTCCCTATCAGGCATCAGGCTAGAAGTGTTCACTCCTGTTCTTCAGCCTCCAATAAAGCCAAGATCATGAAATCCATGGTGCATTTGAGGAGAAAGGTGCAGAACAGAGGAGGGACTTACTTGCAGTCACCGGGCCTAAGAAGAGCACTAATACAACCATTCACCTTCATAGCAAAGCTAGGTGAGGGGATGATTCTCCCCATTTACCCCATGGGGCAGCTGAGGCTCACAGAGGCTAAGGAGCTTGTCCAAGGTCACACAGCTGGTAAGGAAAGCTAATAATAGCACCAGGAATGATAGTACTAATAAGCTAATGGGCATTTTGCAGTTACCCTCTGTCAAGCATCATCCCATTGAATGCTTCAGTTTTGGAAAGTAGAACCTTACTGCCCCCATACTGCAGACAAGGAAACTGAGGCTCCCCATATTGCAGATGAGGAAGCTGAGGCTCAGAGAAGCAAAGTAAAGTACTGAAGTCACATAGCTAATGAGTAGAGATGGAAACCAAACAAGCTGACTTGTCCGGGACACTCAGTGTGTGTGCTAAGCCCCTCCTCACATCCCCACCGGGAGAACTGGTGCAATTATCTCCGTTTTACGGGCCAGGAAAGTAAGGCTCAGAGTAGCTATTTAATGAGGAGCACACAACGAATAAATGGGAATGTAACCGTTACAGTAACAACAAGCTAACCTGTAGTGAGCATTTACTCTGGGCCGAGCATTAGGTCATTATTCTCTGGCGCTGAGTCGAGGAACTTGTGCAAGGCCACACAGCCAGCCAGCGGCGGGGTGGGGATTTGAACTCAGATCTCTGCAGAAGGTGTTTCCACTGTGGGAGGGGGAGGGCTAAACCTCGAAGAGTCCCCCTGCCTGTCGGCCCCACAGGGATGCGGCCCTTCATCCCGGACCAGGACATCGGCTACTTCGAGGGCTTCCTGGAGGGGGTGGGCATCCGCGAGGGCGGCATCCTCACCGACAGCTTCGGGCGCATCAAGCGCAGCATGAGCTCCACGTCGGCGTCGGCGGTGCGCAGCTACGACGGCGCGGCCCAGCGGCCCGAGGCGCAGGCCTTCCACCGGCTGCTGGCCGACATCACGCACGACATCGAGGCACTGGCCCCCGACGACGAAAGCACAGACGAGGAGGCCCGGGACTCCCCCAGCGGGGGCGACGCGGCTGAGGACAACTACCTGTAGCCAGAGCCCATGCGGACGGTGGGGACACACCTGCACTCCCGCCTGTGGGATCCCGGGCCCTGGGACCCCCCCTCGCACCGGACGCGGGGCCTCCACTCCCCGGGGTGTCCGTCCCTGCCCTCGGGGCTCCAGTCCCTGCAATACCGAGAATGTCCTGCAGGGGGCGGGACCCTAAAGTCCTGGGCAGTCGCCTGGGGCTCAGCAGGCCCTTCTGCCAGACCCGGTTGGGCAGCGCCCTGCTTTGTCCCACTCACCCCAGGCGCGGCCCCGGGACAACTCCTCTTTCCCGCGACTCCCACAGCTTTCTGGAGGCCAAGGGAGGGATGACGGGTGGGCTCCACCTGCTGGCAGACTGAGAAAAGAATTCCCAGAGCCCACAGAGCTGTTCCTCCTGTTTCACACTTTGAGAAACTGAGGTTCAAAGAAGGGGAAGAAACTTGAGGGAATCTCCTATTTCTCCTTAGATATGACCTCAAACTAACCACACTAAATAGCGTCAAGGGTCTTTTTTAGGGCTCTAAATGGCAGGGTCGCCCCTTCCCTGATGGCAGGAATTGGATCATCAGTGTGAAATGGAGGTTTTTCTCTACTGGCACTTAAGTCAGAAATAGGTGATCGGGGTCCCGGTCCTGGCCCTAAGACTCTGAACAAGTTGCTTGTTCAAGTCTTGGATTTGGAGCCAGACAGGCGTAGGGCTCCTGTCCGGTTAGTGTTTCTCACCCCTTGGTGATTTTCATTCCCTAATCTGTTGATGAGGTGGGCCCCTCCCACCTCACAGGGTGGTTCTGGGGACTAACAGAAGTCAAGACCTTAGTGCTGGGTCCAGCACATGATAGGCACCCAATAAAAGCTGTTCCCTTCCACATCCCCACCACTTTCAGATTTGGTCTGCCTGTCTTGCCTGGGAGCAGCGGGGTGGGAACTGAGGTGGGGGGGTGGGCTGTACGAAGACCCTTAGGGAAGTTTGTGAAGAGGAAATAGGACTTGCTCCTCACAGCTCTATGACACCTGGCCCTGGGTTCAAGCCCCAAATGAAAAGTCCCCAAGACTTCACAGGCTGCCATCATGGGAGTCCGTGGTCGTTAAAGAAACCTGATGGCAGGGTTGGAGAGGTAGAGAAGTCAGCGTAAGGACAACATTCAACACGGCCTGAGTGAAGGCTTGGAGGCTAAAAGGGATGAGTCCTGAGAGAATGTCAGAGACTCACACAGAATTGCTAAAATTCATTTGCAAACCTTTACAGAGCCTTCCATGTTGAGACCGTGAGGTAGGTACAATTATCACCAATTTTAAAGTAATATTATTAGGGCTTCAGGTCCAGAGTTCCATGATTTATACCCATGAGCCCACATGGCCATCCTGTCGTAATTAGTCCTTCAAGGCCCTCTGATGTTTTCTTTGGTTTATTTCCCCCCTCTAGCCACACATTCCCCACACTCCCCTCCCCACTGTGCGCACCCACCCTACGTGTTGATATATGACCCTGTGTCCACCCACCCTACGTGTTGCTATGTGGCCCTGAACATAAAACACACAGTGCTTCGTGTGTGCATTTACCCTACATGAATGGTGTTGTGTAAAGATCTCATTCTGTTTCTTTCTTTTTTCACTCCATCGTATGATTTTTAAGATAATCCATGTTGCTGTGGGAAAATCTAGCTTATCACATCAAATTGCTGCAAAGCATTCCAAGCTGTGCATCTGTGGTTTTATCTATCCACCCCCACCCCAGGGTTGGACACCCAGGTGGCTTCCAACTTTCTCTCACCGCAAACAATACTGTGATGAACATCTTTGAACATGACCCTATGGGCCTATGTGAAAATTTCTTTGGACCCTATACCCAAGTGGAATTAGTAGATCACATATGTGTTTTAAATGTCACTAAATTCTATTAGTGGTATGTGAAAGACGCTTGTCTCCCCACATTTTCATTCGCTTTTACATTATCTGACTGTAATTTTTACCTATAGTTTGGAGGTAAGGTGGCATCTCATTGTTTGAATTTCTCTGATAATATGAGATTCAGAATCTTCTACACTTGTCAGGCATTTGGGCTTCCCCTTCAGTGAACTGCCCATTCATTTCTTGGGCCCATTATCTATTGGGTTTCCTGTCTTTTTCTTGTCAGTTTGCAGAAGTAGCTTGTAAATTTTAGGTATTAATGCTTTGTTGGATGTTGATGTTCCCAATATCATCTCCTAATATGTTGCTCATGTCGGGTTTGTCTGGGGTAGTGGTTCTCAAACTTTACCATGCACCAGAATCTTCTGTAAGGCTTGTTAAAACACAGATCGCTGAGCCCCACCCCAGAGTTTCTGACTCAGTAGAGCAGCGCTGGGGCCCAAGATTCTGCATTTCTAACAAGTACTCAGGTGATGTTGGTGGTCCAGGGAGCACACTTTGCAAACCACTGGCCCATTGTGCCTTCCTTTGAACAAATTTGTTCCATTGAACAAATCCTTAATTTTGATGTTTTCAATTTATTTATCTTCATTTTACAGATGAGGGAACTGGAGCTTGAGATGAAGTGAATGCCCCAAGGTCACACAGTAAGCTGGAATTTGGACCCATATCTGGCCAACTCCAGAGCCCATAGTCCTAACTGCTTGACTATCCTGTCCACCAGCTTTTGGGGTGTAGTGACCACAGGCCGAGGCATTTGTCCTGAGACTCTGGGGGGACTTTAATAAGTTCCTGCATAAGGGAGACACCAAGGGAGAAGCGCAGTGACAGGGCCGCTGAGAGTCACTGGGACAGTTCTTACCCCATAGTTCAAGGGATGGAGCAATTTCCCTCACACCCCGAGGAAGTCCCTACCCATCCCGGAACTACCCTCTTACCAAAGCCATGTAACCCCTTGGTAGCTGAGGTCCAAAGGGGCAGTCCAGGCTCCGAGCATGAGAACTCTGGCCACACTTCCTACTGTAGCATCCAGAGACCCTTCCAGGATCACTTCCCATTATGGTTTCATTCCTGGCACTGCAAGAGGGGGAAAACCCCGGGTGGTGGGACAGCTGCTTCCCAAAGACCTCTAGGGGTGGTGTAAGGATGGGACTTCCCTTCCAGCTAGATCTCCTGGGGACAGTTTTGATCCATGAACAAGTGGTGACGTTAGTGAAATTGTCTCCAGCTGCCCCTTCCAGTGTGACTCCTTTCGTTTTGGGGTCCTGCAACTTCCTACTCCCTCCCAGCTTCCCCCCCAGAGACTCCTAGCAGACCTTCACAGCGGCATGTTGGAGAGGAGTCCTCGGGCCACCGTCCTTTTGTCACCAAATGTTTAGAGCGCATGCACTAAGAGCATGCACTAGAGGCATTGTGCTAGACAAGAGGGAGATATAGAACAATTCCTGTCCCAGGAGGGGCTCACGGCTTGATGGGGGAGACAGGTCCCCAAATGATTACAGCATAAAGTTCTCAATTGTGAAATTGAAGAGTGAGCAACTAGCTCCTCCTAGGGAAAACAGAAAAGGCTTTGCAGGGTGGGGGGCGGGTGACTTACAAGCAAGACTCTGAAGGATGAGCAAGACTTTGGGCAGGTAGAGGAAGGTAGACAGGAGAGCCCTCCAGGTGGGGCCACCATGAGCAAAGGGCAAGGAGCTCAAAGGAGCATGGCACACCCCAAAACTGATAACCAGTTAGCTCTACTGCAGTGGTTAGGTATCACAGCCCTGGGGGTCAGACTGAGTGAGTTTTGAATCCCAATTCTATCATCTGCTAGTTGGGTGACCTTGGATAAGCTCCTAAATGTCTCTGGTCTTGGTTTCCTCATCTATAAAATGAGGATAATAATAGCATCACCCTCATAGAGCTCATAGTTTATTGCAAGACTTCAGCAAGATCCATGTAAGAGGACATACAGTAAGTGCTCAATAAATGTGACCATAACTATTGCTGGGAACATGGGGTGTGGAGGGTGAGGAGCAGGACTTATAGGAGAGAAAAGCAGAGGAATGGGCAGATTAGAAGGCCCTCGAAGTGCAGGTAAAGGGGAGTGACCAAAAGGGCTTGCATTTTACTGAAGGAGAGGAGGGCTGACTGGACGGCCGAGGAGAGCCTGGGCCCTGGGAGCTGGGGCAGGACCTGATGACCGAGGCTGAGACCTGACTCAGATGGAGGAAGGAGGAGAGAGCACATTCAGAGGGGGGCAGGAGTAAGAGGGTCCCCTCCCCGCTCAGAAACGGTGCCTCTCACATCCTTTGATTAGATTCCTTCCTCCCTTCCTCCCTTCCTTCCTTCCTTCCTTCCTTCCTTCCTTCCTTCCTTCCTTCCTTCCTTCCTTCCTTCCTTCCTTCCTTCCACAGCTGTTTAGCACTTAAACCATGGCCTCATGGTGTTTACATTCTAGAAATTACATTTCTATTAAGTAATGTTGCTTGGAATTTCCGGATGCAGTCGCCACCCATTCAGGCTTAAATGATCAGAAATTGGTAGCCCTATTGGTGTGTCTTCCCATTTCTTGTCTATCCTCAGACATTTCAGATGAAGGGCAAATGGTCTTAGAGCCAGGCCAGCCTGTCCGGCCCACTTCCTGCGATGGTGAGTTCACTGTCTTCTGTGATAGCCCTTTCCATTCAGTGCAAGAGTTAACAACTGACTCCTTGCCCACCCCACCTCCCACCCCCACCACCAGAACCCTACAGGGCACAGCTGCTCCCTTAGACCCTGGGCAGCTCTGCCGTGGTGCCCAGAAAATGTCAGCACCTGCAGAAACTTCTCATTTCTGTCTAAAAGCAACTTGTTCCTGGGTGCCTGAGTGGCTCAGATGGTTAAGCGTCGTCTGCCTTCGGCTCAGGTCGTGATCCCAGAGTCCTGGGATCGAGTCCCGCATCGGGCTCCCTGCTCTTTGGGAGCCTGCTTCTCCCTCTGCCTCTCTCTCTCTCTCTCTCTGTCTCTCATGAATAAATGAATAAAAATCTTTAAAAAAAAAAAATAAAAGCAACTTGTTCCTAACACCCCAAAAAATTCCTGTTTTTGAAGCTTGTCATGTAGACAAAGGGATAGTGCCTTTGATATGTAAAGAGGACATTCAAATAAATAATAAACACCCACAGTGCAATAGAAAAATAGACAAATTATTTGTACAGTCCACAGAAAAGAAAATACAAGTAACTCTGAAATGTGGCAAGTGCCAGCCTCACCCATAGTAAGAGAAATACACATTAACACATCGAGAGAACATTGTTCAGTCACTGGATTGGCTAAGTTTGGAAAGTCTGGTCACTTACCATGTGAGTGCAGACATTGTCACATGTCGCTGGTGGAAGGATACATTGTTATAAATCCTACTTAACAATATTTTAAATGCATGGACCCCTCGATGCAGCAATTCCACTGCCAGGGACTTCTACATTTACACTCACACAAGTGGAGGTGATGGATGTGCAAGGAAAATCGTTGAGATTAGAAATAAACAAATGTTCAGTGGGAGGAGACTGGTTAAATAAGCCGAGGCTCACACATACAATAGGACACCATACAGCCATTAATAAAAATGAAGAAACTTTCTATGAACTGATAGGAAATTACTTCCAAGATAAAGTAAGTGAGGGGGCGTAAAGCCGGGTGCAGAGGAATGCACTTGGATTAGTGCTGTCTTTTTGTTTAAAGAGGG